TGAGGCCGAGTAAACGGCGCGTCGTGCCTTTGCCAGAGCTGCGGCACTCGCAAACACCCCAAAACGGTGGCTCTCGCCACCACCAAACCATGATTTGTACATTTCTGATGCACGCGCGCGAATGCTTTCTCATAACACTGTGGTGTATCAGGCTATTGAGTCAACAAATCAGTACAAAATCCTGGATGGCATTGACAATATTTACTCTGTTTAAAGAACAATGTCTCTGCTGGCAGCTATTGGTGCGTATGCAAGGAGGGGTCCATTCCCAACTCATGATGCCCCACCAAGATATTGCAGCACCACGGGTGGGCGACAAGCGCTCAGACTGTGCTTGGCCGCTGCGGCAGCAGAAAGTTGTAGAATGTGTCGTCGACGAATAGCGGGCCTCCTGCGGCGGCGCTGTCCCCGGGCACCTTCCAGGCCACCCAGGTGCCCTGCTGGATCTTCTTCAGGTCCTCCCCTGCCGGTTTGGTGGTGTGCAAAAACAACATTGGACTGTGAAACGGATGGCATGCTCAACAAGAGTCAGCCAACCAGAGGTTGTCGGATCAGCCAAATCATGTCGGCGACCGCAATGGTGCCATTGCATATGGTGGACACGGTTCCCCCGCCGCTAGCTAATAGCAGCAAGCAGCCTCTCCACCGCGTGAAACAAGGTCCATCCTGCTCACCGCCGGTGTAGTGAGGGTCGAGGATAAGGAAGGCAGCCTCCCCAGTAAGCTCGTCAAACTGCACCCCAAGCAGTGTGTAGGCAAGCACGCCGCCGCCGATCATCACTGGCGTGCCCTGGGCCGCAAAGTGAGCGGCCAGCTCGCGCGCGTGGCTGGGGATGTCGGCGCCACGGTTGACAGTCATGATCTTTGGCAGGACGACGGCGGGTTGGTGGGGTCAGAGGGGCCCCTGATTGGCCGAGCAGGGGAGAGGCTGGGCGGGCATCCGGGCCATGGCGAGCGGTGCACCAGTGGCAGGACAGTCTGGTGGTCAGCGCTTCTGCTCTCCCCAGGCACGGCATGCAGTGCTGGGCTGTACATGGTATTGTGGCATTCCTAGACCAACCCAAAGACCATCATCTAGTTTTGTTCGCTTGCGCCCCCAAAATCATCGCCGCATTGCCCCTCAACACCACTCTCACTGCACCCCTATAATCTAGTTCTCCACTCCCCATCCCTGTCAATGCCTCTCCCCTGTGCCCTTTTGTGTTCCGCATGCCCCGCCCATCCCCCAAACCTTGCATGTGATCCCCAGGTACTCATTAAGGATGTAGCTCAGCTCGATGGCGCCGATCCAGTTGCTGCTGCCGATGAAGGACCCGTCCTTGTCGCCCAGCTTGACCAGCAGCTGCTGGATCTCCCTGGCGGCATTTGGGTGGGAGGTTTGCCGGCTTTCAGGTGTGCAGATTTGCAGATCGCCCAGTTGTTAGAGAAATCAGCGCAGCAAGCAAAACGAGGAGATTTTATGTGCGAGATCGCATTTAACATTGGCTCTTGATTGCTAGAGACTCATACTGCACACCTGTGGCTGGGCACTGGCTTGTCGGTGTACCTCTGCTGCCTGAACCAGCTGACTATGGTCTGCAGGGAGCGGTAGGCGCAGCCCCAGCCAGAATCGTTGAAGCGGTCCTGAGGGCAGCAGGGAGTATGCATTGGAGGAGCGTGTGAATTGGCTGCCAACGGTGACTGTTGCAGAGAGAAACAGACGAGCTTTGCAAGAGGAGGAGCCTCCACACCCGCTTCAGGGTGAGGGTCAAGCAGCCCAGCACGCTGCGTCCCATTGTTGCGCGGCAGCGCGAGGCCTTGCCTGCATGTAATGGTAGTACTCGTAAGACCCCCTGATGAGTGAGGGGCTGCCGCCGATGGCTGCAGGTGCACAGGGGGCGATGAGAGGCCAGGGGAGGGGTTGCAGCAAATTTGGGCCAGGCAAGGCGTGCAGCCGGCGGCGCAGCTGCCTCGATGCAGGGAGGGGAAGGGCCCCGCATGCTATGCAAAGCGGGCAAAGGGGCCCCCGGGTTCAACCAGTGCAGGTCAAGGGTCATGCTGCGCGTACAAAGGTTGCCAGCGTACGCGCGCAGCAGGCATGCAAGCATGCGAACAGCATGTAGGTGCGGAGCGCGACCCACATGGCGGGGCCACCCTCAAGTGGACGTCCTTGAGCCGCGCCGCGCGCCCGGTGCCCTCGCCGTCGCCGCCTTCCGCGCCCGCGCCCCACTTGAGCGCGTTGGCAAACCGCAGCATGGGTACGTCCCCCGGCAGCCCCAGCAGTGCGTGCAGCGCCTGGCGCCGCGGCAGCAGTGCGTCCTCGGCTGCACCCGCATCGGCGGCCACGCGCGGGTAGCACGCCGTGAAGGGCAGCGCCCAGCCCGGCGGCCGGAAGTGGTGCGCGCGCACGGCGACCAGCCCGTCGCCGCCGCCGTCGCCGCCAGCTGGCGCAGGCTGCAACCGCCGTGCGAGCAGCTTCTCCATGAGGTCCAGCTGCCGCCTCAGCGCGGGCCCCAGCGCCGAGGAGCAGAGCGCCCCGGCTGGGGACGCGTCCGGCACGAGCGCGAGGGCGTCCAGCCCCAGTGGGACCTCGCGCACGCTGCTGCCCGTGGCGGCCGGCGAGAACTCGAGCGCCGGCGCGGCGGGCGCGCCGCGGGCGGAGCCGGTCGCAGTCAGGGGCGCGAGGCTGGCGCAGGGGTCGGCGGCGCGGAGGGCGGCCCGCAGGGCGCCCTGAGATGTGGCCGTCAGCAGGGCGGGAGCGCCGCCTGGCCTGCCGGGCGGTGAGCGGAAAGTCACCGGGGAGGTTGGGGGTACATGGTAGTAGCTCAAGCAAGCAGGGGCACGGCCGTGATGCTGCGCCGTGGCAGGTAGCGCTGCTGTCCACCTGACAGCACCAATCAATCGCCACCTTGATTGCGTGCGCTGCCACGCGCAGACAGCCCCACCCGCCAGTGACAGCCGGGCATCCCCTCACTTTGGTTCCGAGATGAAGACCAGCTGCGGCCCCGCCAGCTGCTCCGCCGCCTCTACAAACGCGTGCGCCAGCGCCTGCAGCGTCGCCCCGCCGGGTGGGCAGACCACCCGCAGCACCAGGTCGCAGTGCACCCTTCATAGACAGAAATGGCAGCGAGACGCGAGGCAGAGCGCAGGAGGGGTCCTTGATCAAAGGGGGGCCTACAACCACAGCACGACGGTGGTAATGCACATGCGCACGGGGATGCACAGGCCAGCGAGTGCGCTGTAGACTGGAAACAGGCCGGCTGCTGGGCCCACACTCGGCGAGGATGCTTCAACCCCCTGCAAATCAGTGCCGACGTGGCCGCGCGGCTGCCCGCTGGCAGCACGCTGCCTGTCTAGGGCCCACGTCCTTGCTCACCTCAGCACCACAAACCCAGGCAGTGCGAGCGCCCCCGCCTGCGCAGGCGCAACCACCTCCTCCGCCGCCGGCTCCCCGTCCAAGGTGAACCCCGCGCCGCCCCGCTGCACGCCGACCGCCGGGCAGCCGGGGCCTGACGCGCCCAGGGGCGGCAGCGGTGGCGGCGCCGAGCAGCCGTACGACCCCACCACCTGGACCCCCAGGGGCAGCAGCTCCAGCACCTCGCCTGTGGTAGTTGTGTGCGTTTCATCGAGATCCGCCGCGCAGGCGGTTGCGCGGCGGGCGCACGGGCATGGATTTGAACTAGATTTGATGCAATCACTGGCTCTGCCAAACCTCGCGAGGCATGCAGCCTGCCGCATGCTCTGTGCTGCCCAGTGCAGGGGCATGACCGGACAGCACGCACAAAGGCGGCCAGTGTGCCAGGTTGCAACTGCACACCTGCCAGGTCTGCGACTGTCTTGGCGCTCGCATCTGCGGCTGCCGGCACAACGCCAGCGAGTGTCACAATGTGTGCGGCCTCGTCCACGGCGCCGAGCAGCAGGCCCGCCGGCTGGGGCAGCGCCTCAGCCAGACCCTCAACTGCCTTCAATGACCAAGATGGGGCCATGGCCGTCCAGGGCTTGCCTGTAAGGCGCTGCTGAGTTTTGAGTGCGTCCTCCACGCGATCTAGCTGAGAGGGGCGGGGTCTGCCTGCATTTAGGATGGCAGGGACGCCGTGCTGTTGCCTGGCGCAGCGCTGCCGGTTGAGGCAGCGCTGCGGTTGAACAAGAGCGGCTCCGCTGGAATGGGTCTTCGTCAGGTGGGCCAAAGAAACCGGGTGGCTTCTATCTTATTTGAATGGCGATGCCGTAGTGGGGATCCGCGCCTGTAGGAGACGGTATTGGATCAGATCGCACGCATCATATGCACTCATGAAAGATTGCGCGTCAAATAGTTGCCAATAAAGTTGCGGAGGAGACGCCGTGTACAGCAACAGATGGAAAAGATCTTGGTTTCACACCCAATGGTCACCCGTGCGCTGACCACGCTGCTCGTGCCACAAACCTCCTGAATGATGGTTCAACATATCTTTCAGCAAAATCCAGCCAGCGCGCAGCACGCCGCTCCTCTTTTTCAAATCCAGCTCTGCCGGACGTCCACACAATCGTTTACGGTGGTCCCAGAACAGTGGTAGAGGACGCAAAAGAAAGTTGAACTGATGCATAGTGTGCTTGGACGGCGTGCCCTGCCCGCAACGCGCGGGAGGGTGCTGGGAGCGCATGATGGCGCCGCCCTTGACAGCAGACTGGCTTCACGCAGCAAGCGGCGTGCGCTTGGTCGGAATGGCGTGCACGTTGCAGCACTAGCAGATTTCTTCAAGAGCCTGTTTGATTACGAGTGAGGCCCTTGTCCCCATGCGTGCGGGGCATGGCGGAACATCATGGCGTGCCTGAGGCTGGCTTGCATGGACCACCCGTGTGAGCAGCTTGCCTGCGGGTGCAGGGCTCCGGTGGCTGCCTGTGGCTCATGGCAGCAGCTCAAAAGCGTTGCACACTACGCCTGCCCGCAGCTCGTGGGCGCCCAAGAGCTCGCGCATCTGGCGCCTCAACCAGTACCAGCCGCCCGAGGCCGACAGCCTCCAGCGCGGCGCCCCTGGTGGCGACCAGGGTGCGTGGTTCGGTGGCGCAGATGCTGCACGTCCCCGTGTCCGGTACTAGCACAGCACGAGTGTGCAGCGGTTGCGTAGCACAGGTGCAGGACACAATTGATATCACATGCTGCCCCTGCACAGCACCTAACCCCGAAAGCCTCGGCCGCAACCTGGCGCCCCGCAGACGCCGAGGTGTCACTGGGTGACATGCGAGTGCTGCAAGACCGCCTGGCACAGCTGCGGGCGGACAGCGGCGGCGGCGGCAGCAGCGGCGGCGCGACGGCCGCAGCGGCCTCAGCGGGGCTTGACGCGGCAGCAGACGGGGATGAGCTGGATGAGGCGGGGCGGTCCTTCAGCAGCGCGGACGACAACGAGCTGACTTTCGCCCTGAACCAGCGCATCTCCCAGATCGCGGCGACCACGGGGGACTACGGGTCGAGCACGGACGAGGCGGACATGCGGCGCCCGCTGACGGGGGAGGTGAGGCTTGCTGGGACGCTGCGTTTGCTCTGGGTGATGTGGGGCTATCAAAGGGCTTGGCACCAAGATCTATTGACGGGCGCGGCTTGCAGGGGTGCAGTGGGGCATGGCAGCGGGCCTGGTATCAGCAGAAGACTAGGGCCTGCAAGCGCCTTGTGGCGCTCCATGCAGCTGCTACCATTGTTGTGCAACCGCATGCTGTGAGCTCCACCTTGTGTTTGAATCCGCTTCTCGGGTGCAGGCTTGCCCTGCCGCACGTCTTGCAGAACCCACGGTTTGCAGCACCCAATTCCTGCCAGCTACACACATCATATGACCTTGCCTTTTTTCCAAATTGGCGAATCTCAGGAGTTCCAGCAGCTGCTGATGAGCAAGTATGGGAAGCTCTATGACGTCAGCTTCGCCAAGCGCAGCATACCCGGAAAAACCTTTGTGTGAGCGTCCCTGCAAACCATTGATACAGCACAGGCACTCGCGCCGGAGCGACTGGTCGCCTGGACGGCTGCGTGGTGTGTGTTGTTGCTGGTCACTGTCATGCAGTGTCCCTCATTGTGAGCAGCCAAACACCCGTTGGCTCACCAAATCTTCTGTCTCCTGGATTCCCCACCCCGCTCCCAAAAGGTCCCTCAACATCATGTGGCTCCACCTGGGGCAGCGCAGCTTCAAGCTGTCTCCAGAGCAGGTGGGGTGCGGGAGTGCTGGCGCGTTCGGGTATGGCGGACCCTTGGTTTGGCCACGCTACACGGTGGAGCCTAGGCATTCTTACAATTACATGCGCGCCCCTGTCTTCTTGCTCACCTGTCGGTGTCAGCCCACCACCTGCGCACCTCACTCGTTCACAACATGCGCGCACATCATTGTTCCGACTCATATCCCTGCCTCGCGTCTCACCCACCCGCTTCCTCCCTTGAAAGACACTCATTGCCAGTCCAAACGCCCCACCTATCCAACCCTTTACTGTCTGCAGTACGCCGAGAAGCTTGCTGGCGTCTCTCAGCTGGTCAACGTCCTGGGGCAGACAGACAAGGTGGGGATGGCGGAGGCCCGAGGCTGGGATCCTTGCGTCTAGGGGACTAGAAGGGCACGTTCCGCAGCAACAGTTGCGCAGAGGGGTTCTGCGCAACTGTCCTGGGTCTGAGGCACAACACTTGGGGCCCCTTGTTGTGACAAACAGCCCAGCTATTGGTTGCAAAGGTGTGCAAGCATGCTGTAGCCAATGCGGCCTTGCCGGCCGAGCAGTCATTAACCTGTCCCGTGCTCGCCCCCCTCCCTCGCAGGTGCGCGCCTTTCTGAATGCGCCCGCCAAGGCCCAGAAAGGCCTGCCGCCGCGGCCAGTGGTGGGCACAGCCGTCAGCGTGCGGCTTGACCTGGATGACTCGCAGGTCGAGGAGTGGTTTGGCGCGGGCTTTGATTGAGTGAATGCCAGCATAATTCAACAGGTTGCGGCTGGAGCCGCGCAGGCTGGCGAGATGTGGAACATGCTGGCTTCACCTATCTCAGATTTGATCCTGCCTTGCAAGTGCGGGTAGCTTGCTGCTCTGCAATGTGGTTGATATTCCTGTGCAGCAAGCCATGCGCGCAGGCGGCACTCTGCGTGCCGCAGCGCTACTGTAACAGGTTGCAACACGTAGGATTTGACAAGTTTCATGGCATTTTTGACACCACAGAAACATTTAGGCTGGGCTGTCGTCACGCGCCAGGCAATGCTGCAGCAAATGGCCCGTGCATGAGCTGATGGCACGTCGCGGATGAATTTCGGTTGTGTAGACAACACTAGCCAATAACAACGCTCATTTGCTTGCATCGCATGCTGCAGCAACTCTGTCCACCAGCGTAGTCGTGTTGATCTTCAAAGCACCACTGCGGTAGTGGACTAACGCTGACCTGGACCTGGTCAAACCGTGCAAATGTGCATGGGTGCGAGTGTGGGCAACAGAAAGGGGTGTATCAAGTCGGCACAACAATAGTTTAGAAACAGCGAAGCATCGTCATGTGAGCCACTTGCAATGCTGCGCTGCATGGAGTCACCTGGGGCGTCGTGAGGAGGGAGGCCATCCACTTGCTAGACTTCGTGCGTACGGTACTGGCCTGCAGAGCTTCGGAGGGTGTCGCATGTATGAACTTTGCGAAGCCCACTTGATGGACCTATGATGACCACATGTTGAGGCTGCCGCGACCAGGCTGCGATTACGAATGACGACGACCCTCGACATGTTAAATTACCGCACAAATTGCTTGGAAATGTCGAATCCGCTGTGACATTATTGTTGCTATGCAAGGCTTGATCGCACACTGATTGGGCGCTGCTTGTAAAAGGCTGAGCTGCTGGGCGAGCCGCCCAGCGTCACGTCCTTGAGTTCTGGCCTCAAGATAGACTAGTATCCTTTATTTGAAACAATGGGTGCTGCACAACACAGTGGCATGGCGTTGAGCAAGGATATATCGGGGCGCAGCGTCGACATCGAAGCAGCAGCACGAGCGACGCAGCGTGCGGATGACGGCGGCGACATTTGCGCCACCACCAGCATTTTCAACATCTACAGGTTAGCTCTACATGGTGGTTGAGACGCTCTTAATGCCCATGCAGCAGAGTTCAGCGTTCTTTGCTGCAGCAAGAGGAGCTGTGTGTCCCATCCCCCATGCCTGAGTCCCCCCCCCTGCCCCCCCAAACACCACCGAACAAAGCTCACCAATTCAACCCCCTGGCGCTGCCGTCTACCCTGCAGCCGGCGGCAAAAAGCTGCCACCCTGCTTGTGTGCAGCCTTGGGACGTGCCTAGTGCCCGTGTCGGGTGAGTGGAGGTGGCGGCCCAGGCAGGGCACAAACGGCCCCACACCAGCCGTCACCCCATCCAGCCGACTGCACCCCATGACGCATCACCTCTTCCAGCAGCAGCAAGACCACCAACGCCACTGAGCGCCGCACCGTAGCGCTCCTCCCGCCATTCCACCCACTGAAGCGATCACGGCACGCCCCCTCCACCTGTTCCCCCTGCCCTCCAGACACGATCTACCTGCCGGCGTTGGCTGCGGTGCAGCGGGACCTAGGCACGACAGACACCTTGGTGGCCACGTCTGTTGCAGTGTACATGTGAGCCCCGCCACCATTGTGCCCACCACATCCATAGGGTCTGTGCGATGTGGCACAGCCTGCTTGAGGCGTGACGCGCAGACGCCGGCCTCCCTCTGCAGTTGACAGTGTTGTAAGGCAGATGCGTCTGCGTGCCCACAGCAGTCCCTTAACGGACCCTGTTCAACGCCTGCCACTGAAAGAGGTAGAGTTTTGGCTGCTGCAATCTCCACCCCAGGTACATGGTCGGTCTGGGCGCGCTGCTGTTCGGCCCCACTGCCGACAAGTTTGGGCGGCGCATCACGCTGCTGGGCTCGACAGCGCTGTTCACCGCACTGTCTCTGGTCACGGTGTTCTCCAAAAACATCGGAAGTGAGCGGCCGGCGGCGTAGTTGGGCAGAGGGAAAGGCGGAAGGGCTTGGTCGTGTTGGCAGCACCCAGGATGGGGGGCACTCAGGGTCGCGTTGGAGGAGGCGAGGTCAGGAGCGGTGGGCTGAGCAGCAAACACTCGCTGCTGGTAGGGCAGATACATCGGCGCGTCCAGGTTGCGGGTATGATGGCGACAGCATTTACGCGGGTTCTGCGCACACAGCCCAGGGCCGCCTCAACCCGGGCCACGTGGCAGGCTGAGGGGCTGGCTTGCTGCTCTTGCAGCTTTGAACCACGTCGCGTGTGGGGTGATCGGCCGGAATCTGACGGCACCCAACCTGTATCCTCCCAAACCCCCGCCGCAGTGCTGCTGGTGCTGCGTGCGCTGCAGGGCTTTGTGGTGTCGTCCTGCTCGACCACCAGCAACGCCATCCTGGCCGACATCTTCGCCCCCTCTGAGCGCGGCAAGGCAATGGGCATCGCCTCCATCCCCTTCCTGGTGGGGTGCTGCTTTTGTGTGGGGTTTTGGCGCGTGTGCGTGTGTGTGTGTGTGTGTGCGTGCGTGCGTGTGCACGCGTGCGCGCGCACGCGCGCGTGTGTGTGTGTGTGTGTGTGTGTGTGTGCGCGCGCGTGCGTGTGTGTGTGTGTGCGCGTGTGTGTGCGGTTAAAGTAAGAGAGCGAGTGTGTGTGCGTGTTTCACTCGTGCGCATGTGAGTGTGTATTTGTTTGTCTACATGTCACTGTGTGGAAGTTTGTGTTTATGTGATTTTGCATGTTTCACAGTCACTCGGACGATGGATGCCTGGAACATAAATCATGGCTGACCTACAACATCGCCGCCTGAGTGTGAGCGCGTGAGGCGGCCCACTTCAGCGCGCACACATACACCTCTATAGGAAGCGCTTTGTGTGGGCGCAAGTCGAGCGGCCACCGCTGCCCTCCTCCGCTCTTTTTACTACCTCCCAGGTCGGGCCAGTGATTGGCCCCCTGCTGGGCGGCGGCTTGTCGCAGTCGCTCGGGTGGCGCAGCACCTTTGCCGCGCTCACTATCGCCGGCGGCCTCGTGCTAATCGTGCAGCTTCTGGTCATACAGGTGGGTTTGACTTGGTCAAACGGGCGGCGTGGGTGTGCAGCATGCGACATGGTTTTAGAATGAGTATTGTTCAAAGGCGCCGGCAGTTGGGCGAGATCAGTGTCCTTGGTTCGCTCCTGCCCACAACAGCACGCTGGCTGCCGCTCGACCCCGCAACGCAGCGCAGCGCCGGCTACTTGTATGTAAGCCTTTCCGCCCACACATGGGCTGCGCTCGACACAGCCTGCCACGGAGCCGACAAACGGCGGTCCCACCCTGTTCACACTGCGGCCTGTTGCCCACCCACCTGCTCTCAGGAGACGCACCACTTCTACGCAGCGCGGCGCGTCAGGGCCAGCAAGGGTGGCGAGGCGGTCGTTTTTGTGGAGGAAATCCATGCGCCCCACTTTGATCCGCCCTACCAACCTCTATGGTGCGTAACCAGAGGTTTGGTGAGCCGTGTTCACAAGGTCCCGTGCATGCGGCTGGATCATGGCCCGTTGGTGGCGCTGGGACACCGCAGCAGCTTCCGCTTCCAGCTCCTCGCTGGCAGCTGCGCGGAGCGTGGCGCCGTCTCCGCATTGCTCCCGATCGTGCCTGGCGCGCCCATCGCCTGGTGCACCAGGCGATGGGCGCAGCCTGCAGCTGCACCAGCATGGCGGCACCGTCATGCCGTGCCTCCCAGCTCGCGCCTCCAACCACTCTACACCCAGCCTCAACATCCTTGGCCTCCGATCTCGCTTTCCCTGACGTCGGATCACCTCACCCCCTTCCGCGTCATGCACTCTTCTCTCCCCTCACACCTCTTCTCCTCACACCCCCTTATCTTCCCTTGCTCAAATACCCCATCAGGCACCTGGTTGATCGTCACATAGCTCCTTTTGCCATTGTGACGGTGAGGATGCAGACTGCCCTCTTCTCGCAATCCTGCGTGTCACCTGACGCCGTGGCGGACGCCTTGCCATACCTGCCTCGCGCAGCCCTGCAGACACTTGCTGGGGTCAGCCCTGCCTCTGCAACATTGCGAATGCATCACTCCAAATCAACCTTCCAATCACCATGCCTGCACCTCAATGGCTCCCCTGTGCCTCCCCCCTCCTTGCACCCGCGTGGTTACTCCCAGGTCACCCTGTTCGCGTGCATGTTCTCCACCATGATCATCCTGCCCATCGTGCTGTCGCTGCCCCCCTACAGCTTCAGCGAGAGTATAATCGGCGTTGCCACCGGCGGTGCGTTTGCCATCTGATCGACCGCTGCAATGCGTGTTCGCTTGACATTGGGTGGGTGGTCAAGTCTTGTCTGTGCTGTTTCAAGATGTGGCCAGATCTTGGTAATCTTGCATGCTGGCATTTTTAAGCATGTTGCATGCGGCTTCAGTTGCTTCCGAGAAGACATCACTACCATCTTCGCTGGCTGCACTCACCCCGCCTCACCTGTCCAACCCTACCCCGCCTCCCTAAACGCCACCCCTGAGCAGTCCCCTTTGGCGTCGGCGGCCTGATCGCCGCCCCCATCGGCGGCCTCATGGCGGACCGCTGCGCGCGCCGCTGGGCCGGCGCCCTCGAGGGCCGCATGGTGTACGCCACCATCATGGCGCTGGCGGTGTTCCCGTTGGGGGCACTGCTGTTTGGGTGGGGCATGCATTTCACAATTCCCGCAGCTGCGGCCCTGCTGGGTGAGTACCCTCTCATCCTTGGGGCCCATGTGCGGGCGCCCGGGAACGCGCTTGCGCCTATATCTGCATTATTGCTGTGTCGTTTGTTTTGCAACGTCATGGTTATGTTACATCCTGCCTGGCCCCTTCTGTGTGGGGTGGCTGCATTGCATGATTGCCTTGTCCCGGCTGCACTCAGACATCATCCCAGCGTCCGCATACTGGAAAGCCCTTGATTACCCACTTTCTTCGACCCAAGAACCTTTATTGCACGCTCTCCTTTGACAAACGCTTGCAACCTCCACTTCAAACCCATCCCAGGCGGCTTCTTCATCAACTTCTCGATGACATCACACATGCCGGCCACCATGAGCCTCATCTCAATACACAAGCAGCGCTATGCGGCCGCGGCAGGGGGCGGCCTCCATGCGCTGCAGTTCATCGCCGCTGGCGTGCTTGTGCAGGTGCGTGTGCGGCTGCATGCCTGGTTCTTGCATATGCCTTGATCAGAAGATGGGCTCAACCATGGCATAGCGGGGCCTTGCTCTGCTGCATTGCGACCAAATAGCCATCGTGCCTTTCAACCCTGGCCGCCGGCCACCCCTGCTCTTGCTCCTCTAATCCAGACGTGTTTGCAGCCCGCGCTCATCGCATGTGCGGCCCAAACCCTCCTTTTGCAGGCAACTCCGACTGGCACCGCTGCCATGGGAGTGGGCCCCTGGATGTCGATGCTTGTGGGCGTTGCCATCGCCGTCACCATCATTTCGGGCGTCATTGTGGTGACTTCTATCCGAGCTGCACCGGCTGCCTCTGCGGCGGGTGGCTCCCCCGCTCCGCGCGACGAGGAGGAGGCGTCCGCAGTCGGCCCCAGCAGTAGCCAAGGGCCCGCGCCGCCGGTCGCCAGCAGCGATCTCGGCAGCCATGGGACCGGCCGGCCCGGGTCACCCTTGAGCCCGCCGCGGGCGCGCAGCAGTGATGCGCCCGATGTGCCGTCGCGTGGGGGCTCCCAGCCACAGCGACGGGCCAGCGCTGAGCTGGCGCTCGAGGCGCTTGAGGGCATCCAGGGGGTGCAGGGGGCGTGATGCTAAAATGGCATGGCACTAAGGCACATGCGTTTGTTGGAGCGCTCAGATGTTGTGTTGTCACGTTTTCCGCGGCTGACGGTCCGTGTTGTTGTGGTTGGGGGTTTTTTTATTCTTTGACCAACCCATGTGTGGGCTTTGCCGTGTGTTTTTCAAGTGAGTGTGGCTGTCTGCACGTAGACCGGCAGTAATCTTGCCTGGAGCAGCAGGAGGTGGCTCTCTTTGACCCTTTTTGGCCCTGCCCTGCCCAGGCAAGCGCGCGCCCTGCCCTGCCAAGACCTGCCCTGCCGAGGCGGGCCTGGTGACCTCTCTCAACTTTTGCTTCAGGTCGGCATACGAGCGTGTTCTGGTTTGTTTGTGAGAGTGGCCTTCGTTCCAGCCTAGTGTGTGGGCACTGGCATATCTGTCTCACTTGCATTCTTCGTCGGTTCTGATGCCACGCAGGCTGACCCGCCTGGGCGTGCTCCTGTGTTGGTGTTAAAACCAACCATGATAAGGGTAACCCTTGTATCCTTTCACATAAACATTTATGTAAAAGGCAGGGTTCTCTTGAGGACTTGTGGGGCTTGCTCACGGCGAGTGTGTGGGTGCAGCAGGCTAACCCGTGGTATCAGGGCAGGCATGTGGGCCGCGCACAGTTGGCGGGCAGGTGCACCTGCCCACGTGGGCAAACAGTGCAGGGCGTGGGCTTCTCAGGCAGCTGAACAAAGCAATTCAGCAGGGGTGCATTGCGTGCCTGTCATGTTCAGCGCCGCAAGCCCTCTTACCACTATGATAATGCAACAGCATGGTCAGCTGGCTACTGCTTTCCATGGTTGTACCTGCCACTGCCACCAGTGAAAACTTAGAGGTGCACCAGACTCGAGGCCAGCACGGGCGCTGGTGGCGGGAAACCCCTGATCACCATTGGCGGCCGTCCTGCACGCGGTGCGGATGCTTACGCTCGGGCCTGGCCGCGGCCAGTTTCAGGAATGCTGGCTGCGCTGGCAAGCTTCGCCCAGACGCAACGGGGATGATCACGAGCCGCAACTTGCAGTCAGCATTGTTTTGCGTCAACTGGTGTGCAGGGCAACCTGGACGCATCGCCCCACTTGCCCCCTTCACACGTAAAACTACAATACTTTGAGGAGTGATACGTGACGGGCCTGAGAGGGACCACTGGGTCATGCTAGACAGCTAATAAGGCACCTACTGCCCGTGGCAACTGTTCAACGTCACTGCGCAGTGGGCCCAAAACCACGGTGATAGGTAGTAATAGAGCAAGACGCCGTGGTGGTAAGTCAAATGCAGTATATATGCACATCCATCGTGCCATGCAAAAACGGCCAATGATGTACGCGCCCCGTGAGGATGGGCACCGCCGGCTTTCTGCTTCGCTCGCTTCCCTGAGCATCGCCATTTCAATGATGTCCCATTTTAATTCAGGAGAGGCGATGAGCATCGCCAAAGGCCCAGCCACAAACGTCCACCCCGCCAAGGGCGGCGACCCTGCTGCCGCACCCGCGCCAAGCTCGTCCATCCGGCAGGAGGTCTCGCTCGACGCCATCGCCGGGCAGGCGAACCGACTAGCGCAAGAATCCCTGAGCTTTTTGCTGAAACACGGCCCTGACACAGCGTACGGCGGCTTCCACGCGGTGCGGCGGAACTTCGGAGTGCCTGAGGTCATTTAGACAAGGGCAAGGGGTGCTGATTGCACAGCAACGGCTGGCCCGCCAGCGCCTTGTGTGGGCGCCACAAGAACTGCTTAAATGAGCTATGCTTGCCTGGTATTTGGGGCCATCCTGACGCTGCCGCAGCCAACGAGGCAGGGTGCAATGGCGCACCGGTCTGCCTCGTATGCAAATGGACATGTCCGCCCGCCGACTGGTGCAATTGCCCCACCACACTGCAATACGATCGCAGACGCTCAACCGCGGCGGCGTGGTGGTGGCCCCTTATGACAAGGGCATTGTGCAGCAGGCGCGCCACTGCTGGGCGATGTCCCACGCGGTCGCGTCGCGCGCGGTGCAGGGCGAGCAGGCGAAGCGCGCCGAGGCAGCGGCTCGGTCGACTTGGGCGTTCATGAACAAGGCAATGCGGCGGCCCGACGGCTTGTGGTGCGTCGTTGTGGGAAGGGTTTGTGCAGACCGAAATGTGCCATGTGGGCGCCAGAGGCTTGCGGCCCCAGCCGTGTATGGCCACATTGTCAGGCGACTGGGATGCTTGCTGGTTTCCAACGCCCTGCGCACCAGTCGCAGCCAGACACACGCACACACGCACGCACACGCTGCCCTGCTCTGTCCCTCTTTGCCTTGCTATGCCCTTCCCAGCTGTGCTGCGCCTTTCCCTGCCGTGCTGTGCACGTAATTCAGCTCTTCTCCACCTTTTCCGACCAGGGCGTGGCTGGTGACGCGCAGCGGCTCCAGGGTGGTGGACCCAGGGCCCAGCCTGTACGGCCACTTTTTCGTCATCTATGCTGCAGTGGAGTTCAGCAAGGTGGGGTTGGCGCCAAACAACGGTGTAGGGGCACAGAGAGTGTGTAGGTATTCAGGAGAGGCCAGCTATAGGATGAGGGGATGTCGGGTGAAGGGCCAATGAACCTGTCCAAAGTTAAGGAGAGGAGGCGATGGAGTGTATAGCTCAGAGTGTGATCGGCGCCGACGCGCAGTTGGCGCAAAACGTCTGCACGCATGCCCAGGTGCACACGCCCCCCTGGAGTCCCCTCCTTCGAATGCCTCCATGCTCCGTCACGCCAAAACACAGAGCTCGCACCAGCCACCGACAGCCTCCTGCGTATTTCCTTCCACTCCTGGCTATCCCTTGATCTCCCAGGCGTTCGGCGATGCCGCGGCCCTCAAAACTGCCCTGGCCACATTCCGCGCCGTCGACTCCGCCTTCCACGACAGCACACACGGCGGTTACAACGAGACCAGCAGCTTCCCGGTCCTGCACTCCGTGCGGCTGCCAGGTGGAAAGATGCCACAGACGCTCAACACATTTCTGCATGGCATAGGTGAGCGAGTCTGGCCTTGGCTGAAGCTAGAGCTGACGCCCTGTGCAGCTGAAAGCAGCGTTGCGTTGGATCTTGGACGGGTGTGCCCGGAAAGCCACCCTACCTTGAGGAGGGGATGGCTATGCTCTTCTGTTCGTTGTAGGCTGCTGCAAGTAATGCAGCAGCACCCACCGCATCCCCTGGTCACCGTTCCTGTCTTGCCTGAATGCTGCCACCCATGGCCGTACAGCCACGGCCACGCAGCGCCCAGCATGGGCTGCTGCCAAAAATCTTGCTAGTGCCCACAAGTTTTGTGCAACCCCACGAATACCCAAACATGCTTGCATATCAACCAACGCAAATGGTGCAGAGTCCATAGCGGCGCTATACAACGCCACTGGGGATGAGGCTGTGCTGGTGCGCCTGCAGGAGTTGACACAGCTGGTGACGTCGCGGCTCATCACCAAGCACAACGCCATATACGGTGAGGGAGCGAATGTGTAGTGGTCATTGAGAGAGTTGTTGCTCGATTGTGGCGCAGCAACGGCTAAAGTGAGTATCTGCCTTATCAGGCACCCTCTAGTCCTGTGCTTGGCTAGATGGATGAGATCTCAGCGGCTTCGGGCTCAACAAGCGCCGCCAGCAAACGGCCAGATTCGGAAGTTTTGTAAACGGCCATTTGCTCACTTCAAGTTTCATTTGCATGCAACGCATGTCGCCCCGCTTTGTCGCCCTTCCTGCGCCTTAACGAATCCTATGTCGCATCACACGTTGTCGCCCTCCCCTCCCCCTGCCCAACCAACATAAACCAGAGTTCTATGATCCGGCCACCTGGACACCTGTTGGCCCCCCTTCCATCAACTTTGGCCACAACCTGGAGAGGTGGGGTGTCCTGAAAGGGTTGCAAGGGCAAAACGGCTTGTGGCCCGACCCTGGTTGTGGCAGGTGGCTGCTTGGATGACTACAATGCGGGCGGCATTGATAGCCTTGCAGCCCTGTGTGCACAGATCAACAAGCACAGAATGGCTTTCCAAACTGCTGAAGCCTGAACGAACACGTGATTGAGTCATACGTGAACGTAACTCTGCGTGCGTGCAGCGCCTGGGTGGTGGCCGAGGCAAACCGCGTGATGGTGAATAAGGGCAAGCTCAGTGCAACAGCTGCCGGCGCAGCGGCGGCCAAGCTGGCTGCCCTGAGGGCCGCGGCGCTGAGGGACGGCTACGACCAGGAGCATGGCGGCGTATTCGAGGCCGGCGTTCCGGGGCAAGCATCTGGCACAGGAGAAGGTGTGGCGATGCGCAAAACCAGGCTGCAAAGAATGCAGCGCTGCTGGCGCTGCTTTGCGCGCATCTCCTTCAAGCGCTTGCCTGCGTACGCGCTAGCATGGCGGCTGCCTACATGTGAGTCTCTCCACAACTCTCACTGACCGATGTGCACATGGACAACCCGCCTTCTGCTGCTCTTCTTTACTTTTTCATGGCTAAAGGCGCTTCGACCAAGAAGGTGAGGCTTGCTTCATGACCGTCATGAAGTGAGCTGGGCCAGCATTGACGTTGGTTGTGTCGGCGTCTTCCCGTACGGCGTGTCCTGTACGGCCGGGCACCACGGCATTTTCAAGAGATTTTCTTCACACCAAGGTCCTCTTTAACAGTTGTCCTTGGTGGCCCGTCGTCACTTCTGCTCCATGCGACTCATGCCCCCTCACACATGCACAAATACACGGACATCACGGCACTAACACCACACATGCACTGCGCAACTGGCACCCACTGCACGCGCTGCACACACTGCGCTCGAGCCCGTTCGCCCCGAACACATCACCTGAAGGTGTGGTGGATCCAGGCTGAGTCGATGCTGGCGTTGCTGCAAGCAGACCTCAAGTCGGAGGACCCAACCCTGCTGAAGCAGCTGAACGGCACACTGGAGGTGCGTGGGCAGGTCGCACCCGCACGCTGAGCGCGTGCGCGTGCGCGAGGGCGGCACCAAAGGTCTGGGCCGCTGGCTGGATGCGGGGAAATGCTGCTGCGCGGCAAAAGGGGCGCTCTTGTCGACTTGCCCTTTTGTCCGCACGCCATAGGCAGCCTGCTGGATAACCCAGCATGGCCCCTCGCCAGCATTTGAAGCAACCTGATGCACTCGCCAAGGCGCCTCACGGCCCCCCATTTTTGCGTGACTTCGCCCGCCGCCCCGGGCGCAGTTTGTGCGTACACACATATACGACCCTGTGGACGGAGAGTGGGTGTGGCAGACTGACGCCGCTGGCAGCGTGATCGAACCCTACTACTACCAGAAAGGCAACATCTGGAAGGCGTCGTACCACAGCCTAAGGTCCATGCTGTTCATGCAGCAGTGGATCAAGGAGCGCGCCGGCGCATGACGCGGGGGCGAAGAGCTGTTGTGGCAGTGTCCGTCACCCGCTCGGGGGCGTGTCAGGGGGTGTGGCCAGGTGCCGAGCTGCCCGTGAATTTGCTGGGCCCCTGTTGAAGGGGGCGGCCCTGCTCATCTTGCTTAGCAGGGCGTCATGGAACACATGACCAGCGCATCATTTGCATAGCTGGCTATCACTCTCTCATCATGCCGGCAAGCAGTCAATGGTGTTGGGTACACTTGAATGGGCGGGGTCCTTGCGGCGCATGCCGCGGATGCCCCTAACAGGACGGGTGACAAAGACTGTATTAACGTTGGGCTGTTTGTCACAAATATGCACGGAATCCCGCAGCGACGATTGCTGTGCTCCGTGGATACCTCTATGCTTGCCTTGGGGTGAAGATTAAAGCAGGCATGCACATCCTTCCTGTCGATGCCCATGTTGTACTGTTTGCACAGCCACCACATATTTTGCTACTACAGCTGCATTTTTCCTTGGCTGTGAACTTGATGGCCACAAGTGCTGTGCTAAACTTGGAGACACACAATCCCACGCACATCTATGGCCACACACCACATCCACATAACCACACAGACACATGCGCGAACACACATACATACAGCGGCATGCACATACACACACGCACACACAAGCTCGCTTTCGTTGCACACGCACGTGCGTGTGACACCTACACTCTCACAGTCTTACACACACAAGCACTCACAAAATTGTATGCACCTTGATTGGTCGTCGATGGTGTTGCTCACCTGCACACCCACAGTGTGAAAAACACTTCTTCCTTGTAAGCATGCTACACTGCCATCGCTCAAAACTTGGCATTCTGCACGTCATGGCGAGGGCAGTGACAAATTGCTGTTCGCATTGCCAGCACTCACATGTTGCTCTGCTCGCTGGGGCCCCCCAACAAACATCTGCAGACCTGGTGTGCAAATGCCCAGGAAATTCAGGCTTTGACATGCTGCCTCAACTTGTCACTCACAGGAGCCGTGATGATGATGAATTTGCTTGCATACTGCGTGTTCCTTTGCCGTTTGTATGGTTGTGACCACGCACCAGGGCTGTGGTAGAGCACCCAATCACCAAAAAACAGCGGTGAAGGCCAAGACGAACCGGCAAACACCAGCCAGGACTGCTGCTGCACGAGCTCGTGGCACCTGGCAAGAGCAAAACAATCAGTCCAAGGTACCAGACTTATTACTACGCCGGCGCCGCCCATCCAGGGCCTGCTTAAACAACAGCTGCACCTGCATGCGCACCCAATCACACAAAAAGGTCATCCAACTGGGCGTCTTGAGGCAATTTTTTTCTCCGTCTGTCCTACATGCGCTAGCGAGGTCCCGTCCCGTCCCGTCTTGCTGCTCGGCACAAGTGGCCGAGTTTCAAGGCTGTTACAAGCCTGGCCAGGCGCTGCTGCCCTCTTGTGTCAAGTCGTGTTGAAACCCTCATCCCGCCGGCGGGGGCGAGTCAGCAGGTGGCGGGGCTGACGGCGCAACTGAGGGCGAGGCTTGGGGGGAAGGCGAGGGCGCCGCCTCTGGTTGGACCGCCGCCCCGGGCGCTGCCGGTTGCGGCGGCGCGTTCGCCGAACTCTGAGGCAAGGTTGCGGCCGAGCTGCCAGCAGAAGCGCCCCCGGCCGCGGCGTCCTGGCAGCGCTGCTGGCAGTCGGCGTTCGACCCAAATGGCAGCCCGACTGGCCTGGGCACCGGGCCGAGGGCGTACCACGCGTTCAGGGTCGGCCCGATGGCGGCGAGGGCGGTGATGCCAAACTGGGTCGCCGTGTTGATGGGGAAGACGCTGATGAAGACCGCCGTGTCGCAGCCCAGATTGAGGGCGAAGTGCATCTGAGCGGCAGGCAGCTCGTACAGCTGGCCCAGCCCCACGTCGGCCTCCACCAGGGCGTTGGATGTGCTGACATACCTGAGACGTGTTTGGTGGGGCTGGTGTATGCTTGAGGTCCATCACTCTTGTCGTAGCAGGCTTGTGTTGTATGTCATCACAGCGGTGTCATCAGAGCTAGCCGGTTGCTTGAGTGAATTTGTGTTGCTGGCAACCAGAACACGGGTGCGAATTTCACCTGTTCGTGCTACTAGCAGCTCCAGGCAGCTGCATGCAGGCCAGAAGTTGTCCTTCCCGCAGGTGGACCGTGCCGCCGGGGTTTGTCTTGGCTGCGCAGCTACATACGTGCCACCTAAATATTGAGTACAACAAGGGGCTTGCGCAGCAGCTGCTTTCTCAGACTCCCGCCCCTGTGACAAGCAGGTGCGACCCATACACACGGAATGGCGACCCACCCCAGGTGTATGGCGCCCTGAATCGGCTGCAACAGCTCAGTGCCGTTGTGGTAGTGAGGGGTCAGGCCAGTGCAAGGCCCCAGCCTGGGCGGGAGGCACAAATGGCATGGCGGTGCAGGTTGTAGATGGGGCGGAGAAGGCGGGTGAAGGGGCCGAGCAAGCAGTGTGTGCAGTCGTCCAAGTGAGACTGCTGTGCGGCGGCTCGAGCGGGCTTGCATGGCGTCCGCGGGCCGAGGGCGCTCGTGCTGCTCAGATGCAGCATGTCTGCGTCGACTAATATATACAAGCATGCAGCCGTGAAGTCTACAAGGGAGGATGCGGCTTTGGGCCGCAGGCAGCAGCCCCGGGCTGCTTGGGCCGAGGCTTGAAGCCCCTGCTGGAGCGTGAGCAGCCATGTGGCCTGCGCACGTGAACTTGACGATGTTGACGCGCGAGAGCTCCGCGCGCGCCGACTGCACGGGAGAGAGTGATGCATAACAGCCACAGGGGCGTCAATCTGTTGTCTGCTTACTGCAGACGCACGGACACCCACCACACTCGCTGAAAATGAGAAAGGTGAGCGGTTCAGTGCGAGCGGTCACAGGCACACGGGGCGCCTGCAAGTGGCATCACAATCTCACCTGCAGGTTGCTGGAGCCTGAGCTGACTTCCTTTTTGTATTGCAGCAGCCCCTGCCCGCGCGCAGCGCCTGGGAGGGATACTGCCACCAGCAGCAGCATCCACACAACGTCGCGGGCACGACGTGGCGACATCATCACTGCTAATCTGTTTGAAGCGTGGGAAAAGTCAATTCAGGAAACGCCAGTCTTTTGTGATTGCAGCACTTGCTCCCCTCGTGGAAGTTGATGTTCGCGACGCCAACCGAGGACTTGACGGACGAGGGACGTGAGATCACCGTCAGCGTCACACCTTTCAATATGGCGCTGTTGCTCCGCCGGGCCATCTTGACGAGCCATAGAGCATCGATACCATTGCGGGCCTTCTGGGGTGAGGTGCAGCCCTGTCAACATCCTGACGGGCTGCACGGCCGTTGCAAACTTGCTGTGCTGTCACTGCACGTGCGCTACCAGCACTCCAGGCCAGGGATTGCTGCCAGCTGGATTGCGCAACATCTCCACCCATCTCACATCGTATACCCTGCCAGTTGCGTGCGTTACGTGCTTGACATCCACCTGGGTTACACGTGTCCTCTGATTGCCTTTGCCAGTCAGCGCCCACACCCAACAGCGCTCTCGCACGCGCACGTGAAATGGACACACAGTGCACACATGCTCGCTACCTGTGCAAACAAACACACACACACACACACACACGCACACACACACACACACACACACACACACACACACACACACATGCGCATGGGCGCGCGCGTCTGCACACGCACAACAGGCCGCAGCGACCCGATCGACCCCGAGCGCCAGGGCCCCCCAGCCTTCCACGAGGTCTCCGCCAACGACGACGCAAAGCCGCCCCTGCACAGCCCCCGCGCGCCGGCCGGCGGCGCCGCGGGCCCGCCGACGGAGCCGACGGTGGCGCACCCAGGATCGGCGGCCCTGCCCGAGCCCGATGAGAAGCTGAAGCGGAAGGTGCCCGTCAACAAGGTCACCGGCGACCAGTGAGCACGAACTGGGCGGCGGGACGCGTTGGGGGATCTTGCATTGCTTTGTGCTGATGGGGAGAGCCGCGCTCATCGGCTGCACGGCGTTGTGCGTCTGCGCTGCCCCGCACACAGTCGCCTCAGCACGGCTCAGGAGGTGGCGCAGCCGCGAGGAGGCTTTCGATTGAATCGGCTGTCACACCAACGCTGCAACCCCCTCCGCAGCAACCCTGAGCTCCCAGGGTGAGGCGTGGTCGACGCTGCCGAGCTGGTGCACGGCGCGCTGAGCGGACGCCTGTCTGCAAACATCGTGTAACCAATTGGCCAATGGGGTGCAAGCCATGGCTTGCAGCGGCTCTATCTGCTATGTTGGTGGCCGCACAAAGGATTGAGGCGCGGGGTTTGAGAACATCTGACATCTACGTCTTATTGGTGATCGTTCTTTGTGAAACCTGCTTGTGTGCCTGACTTGAGCAACTGTTACTCCCCTTTGCTGTGCCGCGTTGGTTGCTGCTCCCCGCCTAGGCCTTCATCACAAGGTGTCACACCTCTGCAATAGTTCACGCGCGCCTGTTACAAACTACCAGCTGGCAATAGGACCGATGGCTGTGAATATAGGCAAAAACTGTTAATATCAGCTGTCGTTTGGCTGGAATGTGCTGGCAGAGCCGCCAACGCCGGTGCTGCTGCCTCCGCTGCCTCCGCTGCCGCCTGCGCCGCTGCTGCCGCCTGCGTAGCTGCCACTGCATGCGCCGCCGCTGCGGCCCGCCCTGTTGCTGCCGGCTGCCGTGCTTGTGCCGGATGCACCGCTGCCGCTGGCCTCGCTGGGCCCTCCAGAGCCGCTGCTGCCTGCAGGTTCGGTCCCACTCCCCCCACCACTGCCTGCGACACCATTGCCATTAAGTGCGCCGCTGCCGCTGCCGCTAGCGCCGACAACCGTGCCGGCCCCATCGCCGCTGAGACCCGTTGCGACAACGGGACCGCCAGCGCCGCTGCCTGCAGGCAAAGCCGTGCCGCCGCTGCTGCTGCTGCCGCTGGCACCGCCGCCGCCGCCGCCGCCCTCGGTGCGCCCCGCCGCGGCGCCGCCCCCAAACCCCTGCTGGCTGTCGTAGTGCGCCTTGAGGGCTAGGTAGCGCCCCAGCTCCTCCCGCGACAGCGACGGCGTCAGCGACGCCAGCGCCTCAAAAAAGTCCGCCTGAGACACCACCATGCCCGGCGCTGGCTCGCCTGCCGAGTTTCTGCGCTCGGCCGCGGCACCCGGCTGCTGCTGCTGCTGCTGCTGCTGCTGCTGCTGCTGCTGCTGCTGCTGCTGCGGCTGCTGCTCTGGCGGCGGCTGCCGGGCAGCTGCCGCGTCCTCCTCCTCGGCGATGCGGCGCTTGAGGGCGCACATCCAGGCGTCGGCGCAGAGGGCGTACAGGTCGGCGCCGCTGAGGGTTGGGGGGCAGGCGGCCGCAACCTCGGACATGTCGACGTCGTCGGACAGATCAAACTTCCTCGTGAGGGCCCGCAGCACCTGGCGGGGTGCCACGGGGGTTTTGAAGGCCAGGGATGCGCACGGGCATCGCAGATGGTATGGGGTGACATGTAGGGCGGCGGCATTGAGTCTCCTCCCCCCACCAACCCCCGTCTGTCCGCCCGCGGGGCTCTCGGCAAGCAGGCCAGCCACTACAACGTAATGCGCAGCGCCCAGCCGGTGGCCCCCAAGTGCCCTCAATCCACCCTGTATCCCCCCCACACCGCCCGACCTTGATCTTGGAGGCCGCGTCCTCTGATATGCCGACGTACAGCAGCGTGTCCAGGCGGCCGGGGCGCAGCAGTGCGGGGTCCAGCAGGTCGGGGCGGTTGGTGGCGCCGATGATGAACAGGTCACCGTCACCGCCAGACTGGGGGCCGGGTGTGTGGGTGGGCGTGTGGGTGTGTGGGTGGGCGGGTGGATGAATGGGTGGACTGGTGGGTGGGTGTGTGAGTGGGCCCGCGGGACCAGTGGTCAGGAGCAGGCGCGTGCGTGTTGGCAGTGGCGGGAGGCAAGGATTCCCAGGTGTGCAAGATTGAAAAGCGTGGGCCTGGCTGCCGGCACGCCATCGCCATCGCGCCGGCTGCGCTGTGTGAGAGGCGGGGCTGCACAGGCGTGCGCTCTGCGCCCAGCAAAGGGGCGAGCAAGGCGAGGAGGCCCAGGCGTGGGGGAGTGAGAAAGCATGGGCCTGGCTGCCGACGCCAGCAGACATGCAGAGGGCGTGAGGCGCCCCTTGCAACGTGGAGTGGCCGCGCGCCCTCCCACAGCCCAGCAAGGACCCCTCCCCTGTCCTCTGACAACCCCTTATGCAAAACCCCTTCCTCAAAAAACACTCTCAAATCCTGCCTGTGCTTGTGGCCATCCCCTGCACGAACAATCCCCATCCCAGGCATATCTGCATCAAACAAAATCCAGGATACTCTCGCAACCGCGAACCAACCTGGGCGGCGTCCATCTCAGCCAGCAGCTGCGCCACCACGCGGTCCATCACGCCGCCGCTGTCGCCGCTGCCGCCGCGGGCGGGAGCCAGGGAGTCGAGCTCGTCAAAAAACATGACGCAGGGCCGGGCGCGGCGAGCGCGCGCAAACGCCTCGCGGACCTTTCGGGGTAGGGGCATGGGGATGGGTTTGGGG